GGGTCAAAGTGCGGCGGATCACCTAACTCGTCCTCAGTGACGAGTTCAAATCTAGTTTTACTATAGAATTTTTACAATTGTTAACTTTCTTCTCTGTTAGCCGACCTGACTATGGAGATGAACAGCCTAATTGCTTTTATTATAATTTTTTTAATATACCTTTTAAGCATTTTACATTTAAATTTTAAAGTAAATTTTATTTTAATCATCTGAAAATGTTAATACTTTAAATCTTTTAAATTATGCCTATTTTACTATTGAACTTCTTAAATTTTTAACTTTTAATGTTTATATAACTTTTTTAAATGTATATTCTGTAAGCATTTGGTTATTTCTTGTAAAGGGCCCCCACTTGACAGTGATTAAGTTCACTTTTGGGGTGTCTTGTCTCATATTGTCTGTGCTTGTTCTTTGCTGTTTCCTTTATTGCCAATTGAGATGAAATTTGAGACGAATAAATGAAAGGAAATGAAATGAGGCCTACTTTTTTTTTTTTTAATGTTTATATTTTCCAACTCCAAATAACATTTCTTGGGAAATGTAACAAATACTTTTGGCTTTGGCATAATTTTTTCAGTAGGCCTATTTATTTATTTTAAAATTTATTTATTCTTTCTTTATACTGCAGGCACTTTCAGTACTATTACACTGTTTTTTAAAAGTGGTACACTTTACAATACAAAGAATTAAAAGAATATAAATATATAAATACACACAAAAAATATAAAGCAAGCAAGAGAAGAGTCAATGAAATACATTATGTAGTAATATTGTTTCGGAATGAATGCAACGACATATTTTGAAAGTTAATTTCTAATTCATTAGGAAGTTCATTCCACATTTTTGTTGCCCGGTAAAGGAAAGTCCATTTTCCTTGACCATCCAAGTTGGGATGAATAGATTGTTATTTGTTTGGCTACGTGTTCCTTCAGTATAAGTACTATTGTTGAAGATAAAATTTGATGTGAGATATTGAGGAGTGTAACCTTTTAAACATTTGAAAATCATGATACTGTAATTTTGTATCCCAAATGGCATTGAGTCTTCTTCAGTCAAGAGTACTTAATACTGTATATACTTATCATAAATCTTAACCCTTATCATGCTGAAAATCGCTGGTGCATGACATTCTAGCATGCCAAATTACTTTTACAAAACTACATAATTACACAGCAGAAATTAGTATCTCTCTTTAAATGGAATTTTCACATATTTTTTGAACTCTAAACAAGAAACTATTATAAAAAAAATAATTCTCATAGCACATATATTCTATATGTGATACTGGTTTGTAAAAAAATTGTTTTACAATCAGGGAAATGTTCCGTTTCCGCCATCCAATTTGGCCTAGTTCTTTGTATAGGCTAGGCTAGGCCTAACTTCGTCTAGGCCTCGGCTAGGCCCTAGTCCTACCTCGTCCCCGCTGCACCACCGGCGATATTAGCTTCTTCCCCATCATAACCATCACTCTCATCACTCTCACTAGCCTACAGAAACACAATTATAATTACACAAAAATGTTCCTGGTCTCTATCCAAACTATTATCATCAAAAACATCATGTATGGCTCGTTCCACAGTATATCGCAGCTGCGCGGCCATAGTGAAACTTTCAAAAATAAGTTGACTTTTTTGTTTGATTTATAAAATATTTTTCAATAAAAGTTGTAAAGATTTTTGTTTATTTGAGAAGTTCAAAGAGTAAGTAACCCGGATACAAAAACAAATGAGCATCAGAATGATATATAGACAGTATAGAGAATGTGTCACACTAGTGCGCCTAGGGCATTTAACAGTAAATTTTTCGCTGTCACTATTGCGCCTACGACATGATAAGGGTTAATATCAACTGAAAGCAAAATTTTACCTATCTATTCATAAGCACTTGTAAACAATTGGCATTTTGAATACTACAGTACCAAACACAGCAACAATAATCAATCTATGTGAATCAAGATTTCTAAATTTTGAATACAAAATCAATTACCAGTACCTCTTGTTAAATTTAGGCATTGATGAGGCATTTTATTTTTATGTTTATCCCTTCCCACCCATCTCCAAATGTCATTGCTTGAGCAATGCAAAGAAAATTTTTAGCCATGGGATAATTTTTTATAGTAGGGATATGTGAATCAAGATTTGTAAATTTCTTCTCCAAATGCCACTTCTTGGGCAATGCAACAAATATTTTTGGCCTTGGCATATCTTTTTACAGTAGGCCTATGTGAATCTAGATTTGTAAATTTTTAATACAAAATCAATTACCAGTTCCTCTTGTCCAGTTTCTGCTTTCCTTCTTCTCTGCATCTCTATGTCAATTTGATTTCTGTAACACACAACATGATTAACAAATACTGCTTTAATGTAAAATGCTATACATTTATCATTCATGTTGGCTATGTTCTTCACACACAGCAGCTAACGGTTAGCAGGATCCGGATCCTGCTAACCGTTAGATGCCGTGCGTCCATGCTAGAAAATCCTGATCCGGATACCAACAATATGATGATCGAATCACTGGCCAATAAGAAACTGGAAATTGTAAACACGTACGTGTGATTGGTTGATGATAGAAATGCCCTCAACTTGCTAACCGATAGCGCTTGCTAACTATTAGCGTATCCAGATACCGCTAACAGTCAGCGCTAACCGATCAGGCGTTCTCACGTAGGTGCCAACGGTTAGTGCTAACGGTTGGCGCTATCGGTTAGCTCCCGATCCGGACACTAGGGCTCTCTTGAGAACCAGGCTACTAATAATAATGCTTGTAACTGAAAAAATTGTGCACTAAAAGCTTTGAAACCAAAAGGTAGATTAAAACAATTATGTAACTTTTCACACCTACTGTACACAGATTAATTATAAAGAAAGAGTTTATGATATATAATTTTTATTTCATACAAGCAAGAATATGTTTTTAGGCCAGATTTTGACTTAGTAAATCCACTGGCACTCAACCAGTATTTCCTTATTTAGACATACAAAATAACAGTAGCATCATCTCTCATAACAAAATTCTTATTCATATGTTTATTATTATTAACTAAATTTTATCAATCTAATACATAGGTATTACATGGTTCTGTGTGAAAACATTTTTCTGTAATATTTCAGAATAAAATTGGGTATACCAGCAAGATACATCATGTCACACAATGTGTAACAAAACATTTGCCACACCCATTTTTTAAAATCTTAGCAACGTTTGTGCACCAAGTTGTTTAAACTTTTGAGACAACATTACATAAAATGCCACCAAAAAATTATGATTAGAATGCTTAGCAGGAAAAACACTATAGATACTGTACCTACTCTTTTCTTGATGTACTCTAAACAAAAATCTTTGATCATCAATGTGATACAGTTACCTTGCATGTTTCAATTTTACATCTAATGCCTCTTTCTCTGCTTGTAGTTGAAAAATACGTTCTTGTAACATACGATTTGCTTCTTCTGACTTCAACCATTTCAGCCGACAATCTTCCTGATTTCTTGCAAACTTCAAAAATTCTTTAAAAATAATTGTGCACAACAATGGATTTAGATTGAGTGAGTCGAATGGCCAAGCGGTTAAGGAAGAGGCACTGCAACCAGCCATAATATTGGTGCTGGTTCAAATGGTACGCTCGTCTGTGGTTCTGCTGGTGGAACGTGTCTTCTCAGTGTACACAATTGGCTCATGTGCACTTTAAGGAACTCAGTACATCTTTCGAGCCAAGTAGAGGGTTACCCCAATGTACTGGTTCATACCGCCCCTGTTACCCTGCGCTTATGGACCATTAGCTACTTTGCGGGATGTACCTACATGAACATAAATGTCTTTTATTCATGTCATCATTAAATTACTATAAAAATTCTAAATAGAAACCCTGAGTCACTATTTCTCTGTTTGGTTTTATGGTGGGTCACAATTAGATTATGAGTTGAGAGTACTGGGTAGCTATTACTATGCATGATAAATAATGCACTGGAAAATAAACCTACTCATGTTTCTTGTGGCTTTTTACATAGATAATTGTTTATGTAAAAATACACATAGAGCAAAATGTTAAAAATATAAAAAAAGCAAAATTAGTGTAGATGTAATTCTAACCTGATTCATCACTTGTAGAACATACTGATGAATAAGAGACTATCTCATCCACCACAGCTAAAATCGATTTATGATGTTTTGTCATCCTTATAAAGTATTATACCTGAAAAATTAAAATGTTTTAATCATCCATTGTATTTTAAAATTTGCTTACAGTACTGTAGACCTATGCACTACTTACACAAACACAATTATTCAATATTCAGATTCTGATTCTTCTTGGCATAAGCTGGCCTACTGCATAATAAGAATTTAGTCAGAAACAAGGGCACTGTGGTAAACGCCAAATGAAAACATTATTGAGTTGGCCATGACCAAATGTACTTAAATTGAGGTTCAGCATTTAGTTCTGATCCCCAAGTAACAGTGGCTATGGCATTGCTATTTCAATACTATGTGTTTTTATCAGAAAAAATATCATTGAGTGATTTTTGCAATACCTGACATGTTTATCGTATCCCAAATACATGCAAAACAATCTTTTGGGAATCTATGTTTCTTTGGACTAAATAGCAATTAAAGCACAGTAAGTAGGGCTTACTGTAAAGTCTATTGCATTGTAAAAATGGTCCCATTTTACCCGTTAAAGTCTAAGATTATAAACAAAAAAGTAAATATTAAATGGAACAACGCAAATATCAAAAGTGAGTAAAGCTCCATGTAGCTTGTGCAATCTGGGCATTTTCACTACTGATTTGATTGATCTTGGACACCTAAATTAAGTGTATGTGTAAACTTAATAAAACCAGAAAGTTTTACTTATTTAAAATTTACCAAAGTGTAAAATTGGGATGAGTACCTCACAGTTGCTTGGTGTAAAATAAAACATTTTTTACGGACTCACTTCATTCATGAATCACGATGTACAGACAGTACGTTCATGTGGAAAACAAACAAACAAACAAACCATGCGCAGTGCATTACTGGGTAATAAAAGCACACTGACGGTAACAGGCGTAAAGCCCCTGTATAGAGCCAACGTTTATCAAAATATTGGTTTACGTTCGGCGTAAGTTGACATTCGTTTGTGACACGTTCGTAATACGTTGTATTCGTTAGCTAGTCGTTGGGGTACGCAGACGTACGCTGGGGTCGATTTTAAATTTTGGACATGTTAAAAATTTTGATCAGAATGAGACAAGTGTTTGGAAATAAAGAGAAATCAATGTACATAATTATCAGACTTGTACTAAAAAAATTATAATAAATGGAATATTTTTTATTTCTCGTAGTCTTCTTGGCCCTGGTTGATTAAAGTTTGATTTGTTTACAGATTGATTACAGATTGAAACATTTTTGTACGTACATGACATAATTGAATTAGATTAAATTGATATTTATTATATGTTATCAGTTCAGATTTTTATGTATAATGAACTTTTATTTTCAGGACACAAACGGATTTCAAACATGGGATCTGTCAATACTAAATTTACAATGTAATAAAATGTGATGAACATGAAAAACATAGGTCTACGCTTAAAGAATAACAAAGATATAGTCATTTGAATTCCTGATTATAAAAGATGTAAACATTCTTAACATGGTCAAAGTTATTAATAATTTTAAACAGAAATATTTTTAAAATGATTTTTAATAATATTTTAATCTAAGCCGATGTTCATTGAAGCCTAAGTAAGGCTGTGACGTCATCACGGTACAAGTTTCAGGTTTCGTTGCACACTCTGCAATCTCTATCATCGCTGTATAGATAGGCTATATGGAGATAGGTAATTATCGCTGGAAAAATTGAAGCTGAATTTGAGCCACTGTCCGATCCACAGGACTACAGTACTACTACTACTACTCTAGCCTAGGCCCAGGGCCCTATCCTACTGTAGCCTAGGTTAGGTCTATCTAGGCCTGGCGGGAGCTAGGCATAGCCATATAGGCCCTAGTAGGATAGCCATAGCCTTAGGCTATGATGTCTAGGCCTAGCTAGGCTAGGGCCGAGGCCTACTTAACTAGGCCTAGGGCGCTAGGCTAGGCCCCCCACCACAGCCTAGCCTAAAGGCCAGGCCTAGATAGGTGGGCTAGGGCCTAGGCTAGGCCCAGCCCTCGGGCCCTACCCCTAGTATTAGTAGTAGGCCCTCGGGCCTAGTTAGTACTTTAGGCTAGGCTAGCATACTATTTTACTGGGCAATAATATCCGTTTTTAGCACTAGGAAGGGCCTAGGCTAGGCCTATATATTATTATAATAAAAATATACAATCATAGCTTAGCTGAACATACCCGAGCAAAATCTTCTAATCTTCTTTTTTACAGAAGTTACACAAAAAATAGGTGGCCTAGGCTAGCTACGTGACAGTTTACGCACACACAGCAGATAATTTGATTTTCGCAGTCGACGCGACACAAGAGCTATTCAAATATTAGAGCAGCCAATCAAGATGTTTTGTGCTGAACTTTGACCTGAACAACGCCCTCGTGTACGTACGTGTTTCAAAGGCGTCACACCACCATAGAGCTATTAAACAACTAGAGTGCTGACAAGATGGCGGAGCAATGCAGAGTTGTGTATGTGTACCACCCAAGATGGCTGCCATAGGAAAGCGCCGCCTTCAGGCTTAGTATACATATTATTACCATAAATAAGCCCTCTGACTGAATATTATTTCATTAATGATAATTAGTTTTGATAATGACAAATTATTAAACTGTCGTAGCCAAAAAGAGGCCAGGTAGAGCATCTTATTCAAATATTTAAAACAAATTAAAATCGTGTACATTACACCCATACACCGCAACGCTCGAGTTTCAAACATAGCTGTACTGAACTTCCGGTGTAAATTGAGGGCGCCATTGAAAATGATAGCGCTCAGGCGAAATTTGATTGGCCGAATCTATGGCAGCCATCTTGCATGGTACACACACACAGCTCTGCGTATTTCGAACATCGAATACATTGCTGTTAGCGCTCTAGTATTCTTATTATATCTCTATGCACACCACAGATAAAAAAAAAAAAAAGGGTTCCACCGAAATGCATGGTGGGAATACAAACAATGGGGCGCCCCGTACGGCTGGATCTAAAAAACAGCTACAAGAATGAAAGTTTAGATATGTGTGATTATCGGTGGGTTTAGAATAGAGAGATGTGGAGATACTGTTGCCTGAAATGGAAACATTAACGTCAAGAAAGGGGATAGAAGTGTTAGAGTGTTCCATAGTAAATTTGATAAGGGGTGAAAGTTGTTACAGTGAGTGACGAATTTAGTAAGGTTGTCAAAACCGTGAGGCCAAATGAAAAAAATATCGTCAATGTATCTATAAAAATGCAAAGGTTTGAGATCAAAGGAAGAAATTAGTTTGTGCACATTCAAGTTCGGCCATAAATATGTTGGCGTAACTAGGGGCCATTTTAGTGCCCATGGCTGTACCTTGTGTTTGTAAAAAGTACTGATTATTAAACATAAAATTGTTATGTGTTAAGATGAAGTCAATAATAGTGGTTATATCATTAGTGGTTTCAACAGAAAATGACTTGTTCAAGAGAAAGTGTCTGCAGGCAGGGGCAGATTTAGAGGGGGGGGGCTTAACAGGCTTTAGGCCCCCCCCCTAAAATTTCATAGCCATTATCTTTTTAACTGCTTTTTGAAGGTCAAAATTAAAATATTGTTTAATGTTTTCTTCACACACGTCATATTTATGGGCTAAACATTTTACAGTAGTAGTTTTTCAGTGATAAAATAAAAATGAAATACGTTTTTTAACCGATCAGCGGACAAAAAACGTAGCTAAGAAAGCTGCTTTTGCCTTGCCTTCCTGCTCAAATCTCGAAGCAAAGGCCGTTGTGTAGCGGTCTTAACGTTTGTATAATACACTAAACTTTTCGTGTCGCGCGGGTTTGTTCTTTTCTAGTCATGGAGGAATAAATATTCCTCCATGGTCTAGTCTTTCCTTGATTGCTTGCGGTCAGAGGTATTTGAATGTTTGTAAATAAACTAATAAACTAAAATTTTAGTGTCGAGCGAGTCGTTCTTGTCTAGTCTTGTCTTGATTGCTTGTGGTCAGAGCATGGGCGTCGATTGGTGGGGACAGGGGGACAAAGTGGGCAGGGGGCCATGGTATCGATTGTCCCCCCCCCCCCACTTGTCACTAATCTTCTATAATTAAAACCCCACTTTTACAAGCGAATGGAAAGAATAACAATTACGCATGACTCATGAATTTCGTCTGTTCACTTTTCTAAGTGCGGTACGTATTTTCCGGACCAAAACGAAGTAAAAACGCAATTGTTTAAACATCTTGTAACCATCTCAGAAACCCACTAGATCGATTTTATGGGTGCAACGATCTTATTATTAACGAGTAGTATTAGTGAATTTGTATTGTTATTTCGGATAAATGACGGAGTATTGGTCGTAATAATACTAATATATTATTTTATTTTAAAAAAAGAAAAAAAAGGAAGTTTACATATTATGATGAGTACATGCTTATGACTAAAATATGCAGTTGGCATGTAAGAAGATTCTTATAATTCTACTTACATTTTTATTTTACAGGTTAATTACTATTTTACAGTTGTATAGGCAGAATATATCATCGTGTTAAAAACAATATGCCCTTTTATTGGCCAATCATTACTGTACAATATACAATGTTACTGCTACTCTTACGGTACAATTATTGATATTGAGTCCGTATATTTTATAAATTTAAAAAAATGAAAATAAAAAAGGTTTAAAAAAAATATTAAAAAAAAAATTGAAATAGGCATATATCAAAACATATTGAGATATACATGTTTTGAAAATTGTCTTTACTGAAAAATGGAATGGGAGAGAGAGAAAGAGAGAGAGAGAGAGAAAAAAAAGAGAAAACCCTGAAGAAAGGAGAAAATGAGTGAGACTCACTTGATATATTTAAATATATATATGTGGATATATATATATATATATAGATAGATAGATATATATATATATATATATATATATAGATATATATATATAT